GGGTTGAATGATCTTTTACCCTCTCTGCATCCACCCCCTTGGGCATTTAACTTTGAAGTGTCCTCTGCCTCTGTCTCTGGACTTGACCATGTGCCTGGCTTTGGGTAATAGAATGAAGCAGAAGTGCAAGTATGGTGCTTCTAAGTCTACAACTCGAGAGGCCTTGCTCTTCCTTGTGTTTCTGTCATCTCCATGGGGACATTCCTGAGGTAGCTACTGGCATGGAACAGATACGTGGCAGAGACTTGAAGTGCCCAGTCAGCCCAGTTGAGACTCGTCTAGACTGTCCCCTCCCACCCCAGCCTCAGGGTGCAAGGTTCCCTGACCTCACGAGCACCACCTGGGAGTCTCCTCATTCCGCAGGCGATTGGGAGTAAGGCCTGCGTGCTTCACTTTGGGTTTTTTGCTGAAATAAACCACGTGTAATCACTGTAAGGAAAGTCCACCCCAGGGGTGCGCTCCCTCGCACGGGGTGGAGGCAGGATTAGGTGAGGTTTGCAGGACTGTGTTGACTCGCATTTAGACGCTTCCCTGCATGAGTTCCAGAGGCCAAGTTGGAGAGGAGGCTGGCGGTCCAGACACGGCGCTGCAGGCCCCGGACGCTGCTGGGGCTGTGGTTTCTGCCCAAGGTTTGCTGCTCTCAGTCGCTGTGGGCTCATCCCAGGAGGACTTGGGAGAGCACTGGGGTTTAGGGCCTTTGCTTGAAGGCAAGGGGGAGCCGTGGGAGCTGGCAGGCAGGACAGGGACAGGACCAGCTTTTTGCTTTTTGGGGTCCTGAGCTTCTGTTAGTGCAGCCTCTTGGGGCCCAGCTCAGGCCAGTGACTCATTTCTGACCAGTTGTAGCTGAAATAGACGGTCCTATCTTGCACCTGAGTTATTTGTCCCTCCTCGTCACAGTTCAAGGTTTTGGCCCCAAACAGCGGCACATGAGAAAAGGTTTCCGGTGGTTTATGGGACTTTTGCTGAAATAGCTGAGTGAACTTCACCTGCAGCCGACAGGGCTCATGCTCCTCCTGGGCCCTGGGCCTCGATCCCCTTCCAGGTAGGACATGCCAATTGTGTCCTTCCCCAGTGTGTGCCTGAGCTCCCCCCCGGGGCCTGCACGCTCAGTCACCACACAGCACTCGGCAAGGACATGCCTCCTCCTCCAGGAAGCGCCCTAGACCTCCCTGCATGGTCCTGGGAGTATGGAAGCCCAGCTCTGTAGCCTGGGGTTTCGACAACCCTTTACTTCAGAGACCCCCACAGAATCAGACCAAAGCCACCCTCTGCAGGACTCAGCCAGAAATGGGGTCACTTGTCCTCCCCCCTCCTCCTCTCCTGCTTCTGCTCCTCCCTGGCTGGTTCTAGGAGCACCTCCAGAGTAAGGCACTTGCACGGGAATCTGAGCCTGTTGCTGGGGAACCGGCCCAGGACAGAGCTCCCATGCTTTCCTCCTGCTGTGCCCTTGTCTTACACCAGCCTCCTCAGCAGCCCCTTTACAAACTAGCACGATGCCCGCCAGGCCCCACACACCCTCTCCTTCTGAGTCCTGTGGGAATGGCCCCACCCTGACCTCCTCTGGTTCCTGACGGCCAGCCTGGGTCCCCGGAAGGCAGCTCCTCCCCTTGGCTCTGCCCTGCTGCACCCACAGACCAGCCTGCATGTGGAATGGGGCTGCCCCATGGGTCCATCTGCATAGCAGAGGTGCTGGGCTCAGCTGGTGTGAGCACTGCGGTATCAGCCCTGGATCCCGGCCCCCTGCTCCCCCTGAAATATCTGAGCAAAGAGGAGCTGGCTCATTTAAGAATGAACAGTTGTTCCCTGCTCACAGACCCAGTTCTCCGGCTCTTACAGCTCATTACGGAATCTCAGCCATGCCCTGAGCAGGATTAAGGACCAGCTCTGATGAAATCCCCAGCAGGAATAACGCCGTAGAAACCTGACCACGGTCATCTCCTCCTGGCCCGCACATCCCGGGGTTTGCACGCCAGCTGGGCCAGCTGCATCCGGCGCTCGCTTCTGCCTGGTTGGCAACAAACAGCCAAAGGTCCGGCCTTCGGGTGCACGGTCAGGGCTTCAGCTGCACAGCCCGCGGAGGGAGCCGGAGTCCCGGCAGCAGGAGGCCTGGGGGCGCTGCTCTGCCTGGAGCTGCTGGTGACTCAGGCCGGTCAGTGTCCCCCCCGACCTTCAGTTTTCCCCTTTGGAAAATGGGGGTGGTATCTGCCTTTGCAGGAGTTCCCTCGCAGAGAAGACGTGTGCTGTGTGTGCACCCTGGCGGGGTGCTGGGGCCCCAGAAAAGCCTTGGAGCCTCCTTGTCCGGTGAGGTTGCTGGTTCAGGGGCAAGATGGACAGGGAAGGGGAGTGGTGAGGGTCAGAGGAGAGATGGGGTGTGTGGTGGGGACCACGTGAGCACAAAACGAGAGGCTTGCAGCCAGCACCCCAGGCGTCAGGGCAGCAGCGGACGCTCCAGGAGCTGCCCAACGTCAGAGGCCGTGAATGAACCACCAGCTGCAGGTGTGGCTGTGGTTTGGGGTCACTGTGACCTAGGTTTGAGGCCCAGCTCACACTTGGTGACCTTGGCAGGTCCTTCTCTGAGCATCCACTTTTCCTATCTGAAGGTGGGAATCAGCAGTGCCCACCCTGGGGTGTGGGTGGTGGTGAAGGTCGCAGAGTGAAGCCTGACACACAGCTGAGCTCAGTCTGGTAGGCGCTCCCCGTGCCCCCGGGGCCCCCAGAAGAGTGGGCATCCCGGTCTGGGTGCAGGGCTATAGCAGGGCTGCAAGTGTAAGCGCAGTCCAGGGCCACTGCTGAGCTGGGGAAACTGGGAGGCGCCCATCCCTCTGCCCCGGTGAGTCTGGCCTCCAGAAAGCCTGTGGGGCAGGTCCAGCGAAGCCTGTCTTCCTTCCTCATGGAGGCCTTGGCCCCTCAGCCTGAGTCCACACACCCCATCCCCGGGGACACACCTCACTGGGAACCCAACTCAAACACATTTCCCAGGGGCCTGGCTGGCCAGTGGGGCCCAAATGGGCCCTCTGCTGATCCTTGTGGCCAGGGCTCAGGCCCCTTGTATGGCAGCATCAGCTTCCAGCTGCGAGCCCAGGCAAGGGCCAGGATGAAAGCCACATTGAGCCTAGCGTTGTGTCCATCACCAGGAAAGTTCTTTCCCCTCTCAGGGCCTCAGTTTCATGTCTGTATAATGGGCGAGTAACAGATCTCTGAAGTCCCTTCATAAGTCATTATAGCCATTGTGTTCTGTGGCCCAGAAAAGTGAAGGGAGCCCAGGCATCTGCTACCCAGGCTGGGGCTCTATGACCATTAGGGTGCGCAGAGGGAGAACCCTGAGTACATGCTGTCAGGCCTGAGACTGTGAGGAGGAGCCAAGAACTCAGGGCTGTGGGGTGCAGCCCCTTACTTCCTGCATATGCTCCACCAACACCCTCCCCTCCAGGCCCAGACCAGGGCTTGGCACTCTGATCAAGGAGTAGAGGAACAGTCAGATAATCTAGATCAAATCTACTCCTACCCCTTATCAGCTGTGTGACCTCAGGCCAGTCACTTGACTCATCTGTGGGCCAGTTTCCTCATCTGTAAAATGGGGGCCCTAGCCCTGGCCAGGGTGCCTAGTGGTTAGAGCGACAGCCCTTGGACCAAAGGGTTTCAGGTTCGATTCCTAGTCAAGGGTATGTACCTGGGTTATAGGTTGGATTCTGGGCTCAGTCAACACATGCCAGAGGCAACCAATCGATGTGTCTCTCTCACATCGATGTTTCTCTCACATCGATGTCTCTCTCTCTCTCTCTCTCTCTCTCTCTCTCTCTCTCTCTCTCCTCCCCCTCTCTAAAAATCAATGGAAAAAAAATATCCTCAGATGAGGATTAGCAAAAAAATAAAAACTAAAAATTGTATCTAATAAAGAGGGAATATGCAAATTGACTTTCACGCCATAATGGTCAAGATGGCTGCGCCCACAGCAGAGGCCGAGTTCCTGTAATGAGCCTTAACAATCAATCAGCAGGGACCTGAGGCTGCGTGGCGCTGGGCCGGGGCACCTCAGTCCATGGCACCTCAGGACGTGCCCCCCACCCTGGCGCTGGGCCGGGGCACCTCAGTCCAGGCACCTCAGGACATGCCCCCCACCCTGGCGCTGGGCCAAGGGACCTGAGGCCATGCCCCCAGCCCGGCGGGGCTTGATGGGGGACCTCAGGCTGCGTCCCCTGCCTGCGGGGCTTGATGGAGGACCGTAAGACGTGCCCCTGCCCCGGCCTGGGCCAGGGGACCTGAGGCCATGACCCCCGCCTGGTGGGGCTTAACGGGGACCTCAAGGCATCCCCCTGCCCTGGTGCCAGGCCGGGGCACCTGAGGGTGCACTGGGGGACCTGAGGCTGCACCCCCACCCGGCGGGGCTTGACAAGGTGGGCTCAGTCAACACATGCCAGAGGCAACCAATCGATGTGTCTCTCTCACATCGATGTTTCTCTCACATCGATGTCTCTCTCTCTCTCTCTCTCTCTCTCTCTCTCTCTCTCTCTCTCCTCCCCCTCTCTAAAAATCAATGGAAAAAAAATATCCTCAGATGAGGATTAGCAAAAAAATAAAAACTAAAAATTGTATCTAATAAAGAGGGAATATGCAAATTGACTTTCACGCCATAATGGTCAAGATGGCTGCGCCCACAGCAGAGGCCGAGTTCCTGTAATGAGCCTTAACAATCAATCAGCAGGGACCTGAGGCTGCGTGGCGCTGGGCCGGGGCACCTCAGTCCATGGCACCTCAGGACGTGCCCCCCACCCTGGCGCTGGGCCGGGGCACCTCAGTCCAGGCACCTCAGGACATGCCCCCCACCCTGGCGCTGGGCCAAGGGACCTGAGGCCATGCCCCCAGCCCGGCGGGGCTTGATGGGGGACCTCAGGCTGCGTCCCCTGCCTGCGGGGCTTGATGGAGGACCGTAAGACGTGCCCCTGCCCCGGCCTGGGCCAGGGGACCTGAGGCCATGACCCCCGCCTGGTGGGGCTTAACGGGGACCTCAAGGCATCCCCCTGCCCTGGTGCCAGGCCGGGGCACCTGAGGGTGCACTGGGGGACCTGAGGCTGCACCCCCACCCGGCGGGGCTTGACAAGGGTGGGGCTGGCCTGGTCTGGATCTAGCCCAATGGGGGTGGGGCTGGATTTTGAGGCACCGCAGGTGGGTAGGGACTTGACTCTGGGTCCCGCAGCGTGCCCCAGACTCTGACAGGAGGGAGATTTTCATACACATTTTACTATTTTTTTCATCTCTGATACTTCTATTATAGAGAAAGGGCAAACAGCAATATTAAAATGTTTCCTCTAATTAATCCCCTTTTAATGTGCATGAATTTCATGCACCGGGCCACTAGTATAAAATAAAACAGTGGCCCTAAACTCTACCTCACTGGGCTTTGCAGGAGCAAGATGAACTCCTCTGTGTGTGAAGTGCTGGCATGGATCAAACACTCTCTAAGATCAAACACTCACTCCCTTGGGCCTCTTCCCTTCCTCCTATGTCATTATCTGGCCTCATTTTCCACTGCCCATCCCAGCTGCTTCTACTTCTCTTCCCTTTGGCACATGCCCATGCTCTCCTGCCTTCAGACCTTTGCTTATGCTGTTCATTCTGCTGGAAATGCCTTTTCTCCCTCTCCCATTTCCACCTTTCCCAATCTCTCTGCCTGCATTGTTCAGCTCTATGTCACCTCCTCAGGAAGCTCTTCTTCAAGGAGCTCTGGGCCCTAGACAAGAACACAGATAACAGGGGCACCACCAGGGGCCGCTCTCCACCCACAGTGGCCTCCTCTACCTTCAGACTCAAAAAAAGTAGAGCATTTTTCTCTCCCACTTCGCAGTACATAAAAGTGCCCACTAGGTGGTGATAAAGTGACACATTCCCCGTGGGGATGAGCAATGAGGGCAGCCAACCCCTGCCTCGTTCATTCATTTCTTCAACAAATATTTTCTGAGCACCTGCCCTGTGCCAGACTTTAGCACAAAGAAGGTCCGGGGTCTCAAGGAGCTTATGTTCTAGAGGGGAAGAGGGGAAAGGAGGGGCAGACACAAAATAAGGAAATAAATAAAGCAGGAAAAGCATGAGACAGAAGTGAAGTCTGTAAGAAGATGCTGGGGCCTGCTTGCAGCCGGACCTTTGAGGGAGCATTTCTTCAATGAACAGCGGGATGGATCATTGAAGCATAACCTGAAGGATCTCAGAGTGCGGTCGGTGGACCAGAGCGTCAGCATCAGGTAAAGGCTGATTCAGAACTGGGGGCCCCTGCACTGGGCCCAGCTCTGGCCAGCACTTTTCTGTATCTTGCCTCTTGCAGCCCTGCCGTGGCCTGGAGGCGGCCACACTCCCACCTGCAGCTGCCTCCTGGCAGTTGAATCTTCAGGTGTCTCCGGGCCTCTTGGCCGGGCTGAGTCATTCTGTGCGGAGTAGGTGTGGTGAGGGGCTAGGTTACAAGGCCAGCCCCGGGGTGCTGTGCTGGGACTCTAGCCAGGGCTGGGGAGCAGTGGGGAGGAGCGTGAGGCAGGTCTCTGGGGCCGCTGACTGGGCTCAGAAAGGTCGCTGGGCTGGCTCAGGCGCTCCAGGTTCCAGGTTCCAGAAGGCGGGTGTGGGATCAGGCAGAAGCCAGATGCCTAAGGGCCAAGCAGGCCCCTCTGGCAGGCTGCCCTCGGTCAAGACCTCTGAACTCCACACCCCCTGACCAAGGGCAGGAGGGGGCCGGAGCCTGGAGCAGGGGTGGGGTGGGTGGGGGTTCAGGGAGCAAGTACCGCAGTGGTGGGGAGGGAAGCCAGTGAGGACGGGGAGGCAGGCAGTGCCCACGTGGACATGGTTTGGCCCAGTTTCTTCCTGTGGCCAAAGGAGTGAGGCCGTTATTGTTCCCTGGGCACCCCTGAGGCCCACCCTGCGCTCAGCGCACACCAACCACCACGACACCACGAGCTTGTCCCCAGTCTGTAGTTTGGAAACCAAGGGTCCGACGGAAGGGGCGCTTTCCCTGATGTCGCCTGGCCATGTTGTGGCTGAGGCGGAGCTTCTGAGCCAGCCTTGTTCTCAGGAGCCTCAGATGTGACACAAGCCACAGCTCCTACCTTTCTGCTTCACCAGGGGCCTCAGCGGTGTCCTCACTGTGAGTGCGCTATTGCTGCATAGCAGGCGACCACACAGGTGGTGGCTTAAAGCAACACCCCTTTCCTGCCTCACACAACCAGTCACATATGACTAGGAAGATGGCGCACCAGAGCAGAACAGAATGCAAAGTTCAGAAATGGACCCCAGTAGACCCAAAGTTAGTATATGATGGTGGTAGAACTTCAAATCAGTGGGGGAAAGGTGAATTGTTTCATAAAAGGTATTGAACAACTTGCTGGCTATTGGGGGGGGGAAAAGAGAGAGGGAGATCAAAATCTCAGTAAAAATATAAACTATACAAGTACCAAGCCTAGAAAGCATGAGAGAGATATTTTTAAAAAAACTAATCCCGGCCCTGGCAGGTGTGACTCCGCTGGCTGAGCGGCGTCCCGGGCACCGAAAGGTTCCGGTTCCATTCCCAGTCAGGGCACAAGCTCAGGTTGCGGGCTGTGGGCTTCGTCCCCGGTAGGGGGCATACAGGAGGCATCGATGTTTCTCTCTCTCCCTCTCCCTTTCTCTCTCTCTAAAAATCAATTTTAAAAAATCCCCCCTCCCTTTTACTCTCTTGAAAAAATCAATGGAAAAAATGTCCTTGACTGAGGATTTAAAAATAAACAAAAAAAACCTTGGGCCGGGGGTCAGGGTGCCAGGCTTGAATCCAAGCTCTGCCTCTTACTAACTGTGTGACTTTGATTAAGCAAATGATTTCACCTTTCTTGTCCTCGGCTTCCTCATCTGTGAAGTGGAAAGAGTAACAGTATGTGCCTTACAGGGTGTTGAGACGTTTAAATTGTAGTGAGTTATTACGTGTAGTTCTTAGCGCAGTGCCTGGAACTTCCTAAGAGCTCCACACATCTCAGCTATATATTAGATGATCAGTTTTACCCAGTGAAACCCAGGTCAGACCTCCGATCAGATCTCCAACCACTTCACCCATCTCCTCTCGGGTCCTCAGCTGGCTCCGCACCCATCACGCCAGCTGGGTGCTTTGCCCTGGGGGAGGAGACCCATTGACCTGTCGCGCCTTCTGCCCCTGGTGGACAAGCTGCCCAGTGTCCTCGCCTGTCCTGTGTGGGAGGAGCTGGGCTCAGGTGTCACCCCGATTAGCGGAGGTTAGAGCCACAGGACTCTGCTGTCCCCCTGAGGTTCTGGCTTGGGGACAGAAACATCTTGTGTCAATGTTTGAGGTATTTCAGAAAGTGTCCCTGAGGTGGCCTGGCAGTGCAGATAACGGTGTGTGGCTAAGATACTTATTAATGTGTCACTTAAGAGAGGGAGATGGCAGGGTGTGCACTGGCCAGGGATCCAGGCCTGGGCGCCCGCTCTGGCCCCTCCTGAGACTTGCCGTGTGGCCCTAAGCTGGAGAGGAGACCGCTGTGCCTGTCCCTGTTTCCCAGCTGGGCCTGGAGGGGGCAGAATGGATTCAGAAAAAATGAGCAGAGAAGAGAGCACAGGCAGGGCTTCTGCCCTCTGGGTGCTCCCAGGCCCGTACATATACATGAACAGCCTCTGGCAGAGATAAGGCAACAGAGCTGAGGGACAGGCCTGGGCCCTCTTACTTGTCCTGGGATTGGCTTCAGAATCTGCATCTCTGACCAATGCCCGGCCTGGGGGCACCAGCGTGTGGGGTTCCTGGGATGTGTTTCTAGTTGTTAAGCACCCACTAGGTGTGTTACATGCTGTCGTAACCACCGTACTAGGTGTACCGGTTAATAATGCGAATTTTTTTCAGTAGATGGAGTTACACATATGTTGATATATATGCGATTTGATACATATGCTATTTTGTTGTATTGACAAGCTTCAAAACTTCATATGTCAAATTTTCTGAAGGTGTTACCATCATATTTTACACCTAAAAATGTTGAATTTCATGCCAAAAAAAGAGCATTTGTGGGAAGTTTTCATTCATTACTTTATTTTGAAGAAAAGTGCTGCTGAAAGTTATCGTATACTTCGGGAAGCTTATGGTGAACACGCTCCATCTCAAGATACTTGTGAACGCTGGTTGAAACACTTTAAAAGTTCCATTTGACTGCAAACTCTTAGTCTGCCTATTACCCCACAAGTCTCCATATGGGGCGCGGCTACAGTGTTTGGACAGGTTCAAGCCTCGGACTAATAAGAGGGCACAGTCCTCTCGTTGCCATGTGCAAGTCCCAGCTGGAGGGCAGAGCCTTCCCAGCACAATTATAGCCAATGGCTATAGTTGTAAGCTTGAACCTGTGGTCCGAACACGTGGCCCCACGTGCCTGAGTGATAGAGTTCAGGTACATGTAGTTGAGTAGGATTGAAACCCACCAGAATGATGTAAACATCTTGATCACGCCCTTACTTTGCCTCGTGGCATCTGCTATAAAATAAAGACACGGCTTGTGGGCGCTGGCGCTGTCCATCAGAGGGGCAGCGTCCCACCAAGACCCAGCTTTCATTCTCTTGTCTGTCTTTTCTAAGCCTTTCATCGCCCCCACTCAGGGTCACTGAACCAGGCTGAGCTGGTATGGCACATAAGGTGCCCTGGGGCTGAGAATGCCATGGCCGTGCCGGCTCCCCACAGCCCCATCCATCACCTTCACCCTTGCCCTATACATGACCTGCCAGTCAGCAGGTGTCAGACAAGCTGGGAGGCCTATGACCAATTAACCACCCCCCACAACTGTGGGCTTCATATGGGGAATTGCACCAAGTATTAAAGAGGCCATTCCTGGACTCAGAATGCCCTGGGCCAGCCTCCTGTGTTTACATATTAGGCCAGGCTCAGAGCCCAGGCGGTGTGACCAAAGGCCCCTGCCTGGAACAGTGTAACCATGATGGAACAGACCTAGCAGGATGGTGAGGGCCCTGGGGCCCTGGGGATGGGGATGGTGCCTGACAGCGTCCCCCACTCCTGGAGCAGACGCACTGACAGCCGTAGGCGCCCTGACAGCCATCCCCACACACTCACACAGGACTCTGGGTCCCTTTACCCAGCTCAGCCTCCAGACACCCCGTCAGTCCCTGAGCTCCTGGGGCAGCGGGTGGTCACAGGGAGGCCATGGGGGCCCAAGGGCCAAGGCACCAGCCTGGCCGCATCACCCGGAACCAGCCCCCGTTCCATGAAGGCTCGATCACACACCCACAGCTGCACGGGGCGCACACGCGATGCCCCCGACACAGACACACTGTCAGTGCCTAACGCGCAGTTAGTCCCGCACGCCCCGCCCTCTCAGCCACTCCCCGCCCA